TTGCGTAAGTACTAAGACAGATGAAGAGCTTCTGCTCCATCATTCCAAGAAGATTCCTTCTGGTTCCTATTCCAAAGGAAGATGATTTGATTGCCTTGTCTCACAGTAGGTGGGACATGGACTGCACCCAATCTGTGCTCTGCACAGTTCAGAGGCTAGAAGACAGAAGTCTTTCGGTCTCTTCTGTTTGTAAGGGCACCTGGAAGCCTTGTGAAAGTTCTTCTGTCTGGAGCAGTTACCTAGTGGTTCATTCTCTGTCCCAAAAATTACCATGTGTTGCAGCTTCACTTCTTCCAAGCCCTGGTATTTCTGCTAGACTGCAGCAGATGAGACTGATGGCAGAGCAGAGCTGCAGGAAGTCTCTTCTGCCCAAGTGTGTGGCTTGAAGTTCTCTTTGTGTACAGAATATAGGAAACTTAAACCAGGTCCAAAAGCTCTGAGCTGGTTATGTCTGTCATTTAACAGAGCAAGTTCTTTTGGCACCTTAGCAGTCTCACTCTTTCTCTGGAACTGCCAGCATACTTGAAGTTAGATGATTTCTGTAGGGCTGTACTGAATCACAGTATTTATCAGGACTGTCACTACGTAACTGTCAAACTTCCTATGTGCCTGAAAAATTCCATCTTTTAGATGGATGAAAGTGTGATGTCATAATTGCATTTTTATGTAAATGCTTGCTATAAAATAATTTTGGATTAAATGATGTGTTCCTTTCATGTTGGCATAACATAATTTGTCTTAAATGGCAGCAGACTGTTGTGTATGTGTTGCTGAAAGTTAAATATTTTGATTCATACTTGCAATTTATTGGTTTTACATTGTTACCAAATGGCATTTCAAAATCAGCTCAGAACACCATGGTTCAAAATCCTGTCACTCATATGATAAAGTTACTTTCATGTAAACTGCTCTGCAAATGGGAGCGGCAAGGAAAGAGGAAGAGCTAGGAAGAAGGGCAGGCAAATGCATTTTACTGGGTAGTAGGTTTGAAAGCAATCCTAATTTTTACTCTCACTGTATGTTTTTCTTCAAACATAACTTCTGTGCTGTTAAGCGGTAATAAATCCATAATTCAGAAGTTGGTTATTATCATCTTGGCCTGGATTTGTCCAAATGTACGCAAGGTCACGCATTTCAGATTTGGCTTTAAGGAAATACTCACTGGCTTAAAGAAAAATGAATACTCTTGGTCGTCATGGTGCAAATACTGTATGTATGTATGTAATCCAGATGAATTCAATGCAGGCACGTTATTTCATGTGAAAAATGATGGCAAGACTTCCCAGTTTGGACAGAACACCTTAAACAGAAATACTTTCACCAAAGCCAGAGTTCTGACTTCAGGTAGTCCTTCAGCACTCTGATTCTGTGCCGACACTTGACACTGTAATTTGCCCTCACATCTGCTATAGCTAGAGCTGTATGAACTTAGTGTAAGTCAGAAGAAACCTTTTGGGTCTGTGTGTGATAAAAATGAGAGAGATGACTTGTAAAGACTAATTGCTTCTGTGTAAACCCAACAAATCCTTCTGCTAATGCTAGTGTCTATAAAAAAAAAAATAATACTTGAGTGTAAAAGACTATCCTGTATTCACAGTACCCTGGCATATTTTAAAAGGTGCATCAAAGAATTCCTGAATATTGCAAAAGTGAGATTAATATGATACTCTCTCTTGACTTTGTTTACCTCTGTCATCTGCATCTTAATAGTGAACTTTAAACTCTCTGAAGTTACAAACAAGCTACTGTATCACTCATATCCATGTGTCTGCAATAGACCAATGTATTTTTGTTGTTTCTTCGCTTTTGTTTCTCTTTCTCCCATGAGACAAAACTTTTTTCTACACCAAAGGACTGTTTTTAAGCAGAAGGACTGCTTATAGTACATAAGAAAAGTATTGTGTTTTGCAGGTATATATGCACAAGCATGCATATAAATAATTCAGTCTTATCATCCTATTTTCCTAGTGTGTGTTTTAGCTCAGCCTTGCTCTCTGGCTTGTGGTACAATGGTACCTTCCTTCTGGCATAGAAAAGGGACTCATTACATTTTGAGCAGCAGAAAATAGTGGCACATCACAAAGCAGTAGCATCTGGTATACTCAATCAGTGCAAGCCAAAGTACTGCATGCTGCTAGTACGTATGATAGCCTTTAATGTTTAATAGGTTTCCTTTGTACAATATTGCCTTTCTCTTTCTTTGACTGCACTGTCCAATTATTATATGTCCTTGTATGTACAACATTCTTTCACAAAGACAGATTTATTCATGCACAGTGATTTCATTTTATACGCAATGTAAGTTTCCCAGGCTGTTGGAATTTTTGTGTTAACTGTCTCATCCTTTGATGACAGAGATTTTCCTCATCATTTTTTTTTAAGGCACTTTTGGGGTTTGAGGGTAAAAAGGTTCCCAAAACTATCAGAAGTAGAGTGAGGTGTGTAGGTGGGCACAGAATATCTCTGAAGGGTCTCTTAACCTTTTTGTTAGTGGGAATAGAACTTCTTACTACTGAAATACAAACTGTTTTATACCACTGATACTGAGATACGCCTGTTCTCACACCCAAAGGCAATGTTGGCTAACAGTTAATGGTTAGAGTAGGTAAGAGTGGTTGACATAGGCATTCCTTTGTATACGTGTGTCTGGACCAAAAGCAGTGACAGCTGCAAGAACATGAGGGCTGTGATTATAAGGAGGCCATGGAGTGGCTTTGTTGTGAATCCCACTGAAATACAAGAAAACCTGTTTGGTTTAGTGGACTTCATTCCTGTACCAAATTGTAGCACGCTGCAGTAGGGTGGGCTGTGACTTAACTAGTTACAATTCAAACTTAAGAAGCTGGGGCTCTTGAAACTATACTGGCCATAGCTGTAATTGGAGTTTCACTAAAAATAGAGACAAAACAATTTAAATACTTAAGGAGGGGATTCTAATTAGGTTTCTTTAAACCCAGATCTGTTCAACTCGGATTTTGTACTTTTTCTTCCTTCTTCATTAATTCCACTGTGTGAATTGTACTGCTGTAACTTTTTATTATTGCTACAATTTTTTTTTCATGTTACACTTGGCAAAGAGTTCTCACGCACACACCTCTTAATTTCTAGATGTTTTAATGTCAAATAGTTGTTTAAATAAAACTCTTGGAAGAAAGCAGTTAAAGGGCAGAAATGATTTTTTAGGAAACCCAGAAGACAGAGCTGTAGCCTTTGAGAGTTCCTGGCCTTTACTTTGCAGGATCTGAAAAGCAAGCTCTCCTATCTGCATCTCAGTACTTTTATGTTGCCTTTCCAAAGAAAAGGGAGTTGGATACAGGCCTGAGTTAGATCTCACGAGGATAGTGTTCTGTACCTCAAATTACAATCAGATGTGGTTTAGTTCAGATGAAGTTTTCAGCCTAAAAATGGTAAGAAGCCTAATTATTTGACCAGGTTACTATTCACGCAAACCACTGTATAGCAATCTGTGATTTATCCACAGCTGGCAACATGTCAGCCTTGAAAAGTTTTTATTTTCTGTTTGGAACAGTTTTTTTAAAATCTAACTCTCTTCATTAAATGAAAAACTAAAAGATGTAGAGATTGCTATGGAGACGAGATGTTATATAAACTGTTCATTTTAATTCTTCAGTATGTAAAAATAGCAAAGACGCTTGCATGTTTACAGGCTTCCAGTCATTCAAGGTACTGAGTAATTCCACAAGATGCAAAGCATACTTGTGCCCTTTGGACTTTTATTGTCATGTAGCAAGTCATACTCCAATTTTTAAATCACTCATGTGTTTGTTAGACTGGAGAGCATGAGGTAAGCAAAGATAAATAGAAGTATTTTCTAAGTAGTCTTCAATCTGTAGACTCTATATTAGTTTTTTCTGGTGAGTAGAATGCTAAGATGCTCTGTTAGCTGAAGTATGCAGGATAAAAAATACAGCTATTCTGTGATCCAAAGACATAATAATATGGATAAAAAATGGAAGCTGTCTGTTTCACTCTTACGCCTTTTAGAGTGTCATGGTGGTGATGCTGCATATGAAACTCAGAGGATGTTTTATCTATCAGTCTCCCCTCAAAGTTGTTTGTTACTGTGACTTAGACATTGTCTCTGACCTTAAATTTAACACTTGCTGCTCTTGCTTGAAAATTACTATTATTCACTGAGTTGTGAGAACAGTTAGTATAATTGCTTTGGGGATTATAAAAATAAAACATACAAAATTTGCTTAGGGTAAAGACTAAGCACTTCTCTAATCAGTGGATTAATGAAACTGTAGGGGATCTTTACATTACTCCTGGAACATGTGCGGTTGGAGTAAGTATCTGCAATGCTAAATTCAAAATGGCAGCCTTAAAGTGTTCTTTATACAGAGTTGAAATTGGCATTCACAATTTAGTAGACAAATAATAATCTCTGGTTAAGTTCTGTTTATTTTGTTTCACAATTGATACTTGAATGTTCACATTCAGAATAAAGAATAATACTTTGGGGGAGGGAGGTAGATGATAAAATACATGTGTGGAAACTTGGAAACTCTAGGTTTTTCCTACAAAACAATGGCAGTGTACTCAACTTATTTATTATAAGCAAGGTAATAATTTTTCAGGCAAGGGATTTTATTAATCTCCTAGCTGTATATAGAGCCATCATACTGGACTTCAGAATTAAGCACCACAGTCTGATTGACTCTATTACTAAAGGGGGCATTTAGCATTATAATACATCACTTTTTAAAACACAAGCATTAGTCTTAGCTGCCAAGGGAAAGTGTACTACATGGAATACAGAGGTAGGGAGTAATGTTTAATTTTGGACGGCTCTGATTCTACACAGCTTCTTTGTTGCCTCCATAATACCTTAATGGAAAGGCAGTATTTCCAGAATTATTTACTGGGATGTGGGTGTGACATAGGTGGCTCGGGGGAGATCTTCTAGAAGCAACATACTCCATATGGTTCTTAATATGAAATTAGTAACATAAATTGATTTGTTTGGATGCTTGCAGGGATTCTTCCTGACGGTGTCACCAGAGGCAGTATTAAAAGTGGCTGCTCAGGCTTCTGCAAACAACAAGATCTTCAGCTTGAACCTTTCTGCACCATTTATTAGCCAGTTCTACAAGGAGCCCATGATGAAAGTCATGCCTTATGTTGATGTCCTTTTTGGAAATGAGACGGTGAGTCTTACTAAAGTAATTGACACATTTCTATCTCTTGTATCTAGATGTTTGTGTCTAGGAGCCTGCTTCGTAGTTCTGTGTTATTTAGAGAGAAAGACATTGACCATGTCAAGTGTCACTAGAAAATTAAATCAATGGTCATAGGACTATGATATTTCAGTAGAAGCCAAAGATGTCACTTGATCTGTTAGGGGTTTGCAACTTGCTCATTCAGGAGACATATGAACAAATTACTGTAGGTTAGAAGAGGAAAAACCCAACACATTAGCTTCTTTGTAATAACTGTCCATGTGCATGATGTAGCCACCCAGAAGTTAACTCTACTGGAAGAAAACATGTGAAGGGCTACTGTGGAGCTGCTGAGGTTCGGTAACTTGTTTCCATACCTTTACTATGCATTTAATAGCCTTTTCTGTGAGGAAGAAGACTCTTTGGGGAGAAGTGGGAGGAGAAAACTAGGAAATGGTTGATTGTTTTAGAAGGTTCACATCGATTTTATGGTAGATGTACTGGCAGTCCCTCTAAGGAAGGCTCATCTTTGCTATACAACAGGTGACAGATTATCTAAAATTCTGCCTCGAAATCTATAGTAATAGACCAAATGAATTCAGATTTCACTCACTATCGTGTTATCACTTTTTGATTTATTTTTTTTCCATTTCAGAAAGTGCTCTTAAATATTTATTTGTGTGCTTAGGAGAAAAAGGTTAAAAAAAAGCCTTGGGAAATATGACACATCTAAATGAACTGTGGGCTTGTCTCTCAACTACAGTAGTACAGGAAAATTACAGAAAACGGAGTTATTCCTGTCAGTGGTTATTCCTGATGGTCACACAGGAAGTTGCACCAACACAAGTCAGTTTTTACACTGTTGTCCACATATCCACAGTAAGGGCTAACATTGTCAAAGATCTTGGACTTTCTAAAATGAAGAAAATGGCAACTTTTTAGATGCAGTAGGGTAAGGAAAACCTTTATAACTATAGTTAATGATACAGAAGAAGTATTTTTTCAGACATTTTGTTGCCAGCTGTTAGAATCATAGAATGGTTAGGGTTAGAAAGGACATTAAGATCATCTAGTTCCAACCCCCTGCCATGGGCAGGGACACCCCCCACTAAACCATGCCACCCAAGGCTCTGTCCAACCTGGCCTTGAACACCGCCAGGGATGGAGCATTCACAACCTCCCTGGACAACCCATTCCAGTGCCTCACCACCCTCACAATAAATAACTTCTTCCTTATATCCACTCTAAACTTCTGTTTTAAGTTTTAACCCGTTACCCCTTGTCCTGTCACTACAGTCCCTAATGAAGAGTCCCTCCCCAGCATCCCTATAGGCCCCCTTCAGATACTGGAAGGCTGCTATGAGGTCTTCACGCAGCCTTCTCTTCTCCAGGCTGAACAGCCCCAACTTTCTCAGCCGATCTTCATACATGAGGTGCTCCAGTCCCCTGATCATCCTCGTGGCCCTCCTCTGGACTTGTTCCAACAGTTCCATGTCCTTTTTATGTTGAGGGCACCAGAACTGTACACAATACTCCACGTGAGGTCTCACAAGAGCAGAGTAGAGGGGCAGGATCACCTCCTTCGACCTGCTGGTCACGCTCCTTTTGATGCAGCCCAGGATACGGTTGGCTTTCTGGGCTGCGAGCGCACACTGAAATTGGTTCATGTTCATTTTCTCATCGACCAACACCCCCAAGTCCTTCTCCACAGGGCTGCTCTGAATCTCTTCTCTGCCCAGCCTGTAGCTGTGCCTGGGATTGCTCCGACCCAGGTGTAGGACCTTTCACTTGGCATGGTTACCTTTATTTTCTTTCACAATCCATCCTCACAAAGCTTCTCCTGAATATTTTGATTTAATAGCAGTATAATCTCAATAAAAATATCATCTTAGAATGGTTTGTGTTGGAAGGGACCATAAAGGTAATCCAATTCCAACCCCTCTACTGTGGGCATGGACACCTCCCACTAGACCAGGTTGCTCAAAGCCCTGTCCAACTTGCCCTTCTCAGATTTCACAAATTAAAGTAATACCAAGTCTAGTCACTGTTTAGGTGCAAGGGCTTCACAGAAACTTCTGGGATTAAACCCTCCTGGTCTTTTATATCAATACTGCTTCCCTGGCTTCTTTGGATTACATTTGGATTAAATTTGGATTACAGTGGTTCATTAAGTACTGTTTTTCAGAAGATAAAACAGAGGTTGTTACTTTTTGTATATTTGCAGACTTTATAAACAATAGTCTGTTATACTGATGACATTCCAATTTTAGAAATTGTATGAAGACTACCTTAGCTTACCCTGTCATTTCAGTTTGATGTGGTATTATTCACCTGCTGACATGAAATACTGTATAGGACTACTGTATGTAGTAAAGTTGGAAGACTCCCTGCATTTTCTGTGTACAGTTTCTGAAGCCATTTAATGTCTTTCTGAGGAAAAAATACTATTTAAACTGAAGTGATCATCCTGAAATTTGGCAGTTTTATATATGAACTTCAGAATACCAGCCTCTTAGCTTTGTTACTTCTGCTAATCAGTTAAAACCCTGGTCATTGTTTAGTCTTTGCTTTCTGCTCAATAAGATGGCCATTGCTGCTTTTGAGTTCTTGAAATGCTGTTTGCAGTGGTTTATTTGCAGTGGTTTATTCTTTTGTCTTTCTTTGTGCCTTGAAACTCCAGCCTTTGCACAGTGTAGTTCTTGGTTTTAGTAGCTGCTGTACCTCGTGATGGTCAGTATTTCTGCTCTCTACATGTGGTTTGTGATAAAGAGTAGTTGCAAAACTCAAAAGGAGCTTATCCTGACATGTTCTGCCTTCTAGTAGCTTCCTCCTTTGGGCTGTGTTTGTTTGGATTTTTTTGGTGGGGTAGTTTTTGGTTTTTATTTTCCTCCTATATTAGTTTCATCTACAAGTATGTTACGGAATTTTTTGTGTGTGTGTATGCTTTGATGGGCAATGAACCACTTCAGCTAGCCAGCACCAAATTTCTGCCCATTTACTGTGATTGCCTTTTACCTTTTGCTACATTTTCCATCAGTTTTGCTGGTTTACTTAAATACTGAAAGTGCATAAGCTAACATATAAGCAAGGCATACCAAGGGGTGTGGTTGTTACTTTATTAGTACGAACAATACTCTTAGACACAATCTTTATTCTTCCCTCCATTTATCTTCACATTATAGACCAATACAATTTTATTGTTAAGCAATGAGCTGTTTATTTTTTTTTGAGTAATACAAAAACATCCAAGAGCAGCAAAATTCCAAATTGCAGCCATTCCTAAACTAAAAACAATTGGCAAAGTGATTTTAAATTACATCTTCTACTTAAAAATTTACATCTGAATGAAGATTGGTTATTTCAAGTTTCAGCCAGATGGTAATTAAAATGGGCAAGTTATAAACCTCTCAGAATAAATGTTCTAGTTTAGAATGTAAATGCCAGCGTACCCTTAGCTGCAGTGGAGACACTGATCTCTGTGATGACAACTCAGTACATGTATGAGTTTCAGCATTAGCTCAGTGACCACTGGTGATTTGATCATTTGTTTAAATTCCTTTTATAACTAGTCAAACATCTTCTCTTGGATTTTTGATACTTATTAACTCTAATTCGTATAATAAATTTAGTACAGAACATTCAGAATAGGAATAATTGTGTGTTCATTGCTGCTAACCAATTAGGGCCATTCTGCAGTCATTAGCTAGCAATACATGACTGGAGAACTTGATTATTGTCATTGCTTTTAATTTTTATTAAATTAAGTTTTTTCTTAATAGTGTCATTTTGCAAATGGTTCTTAGCAGTAATACCTTCCAAGCTACCATAATCACTGGATAATTAACCTGCCAGGATTAAGCACACTCTACTTTGCCTCAGGATGCTTAACTCTCAAATAAGGTCAATTATCTCCTGATGATAACTGCTTTGTCACAAGTTGCTGCTTAATTCATCTGTAAAAGATCACCTTAGAATACATATTTTACAACTCAAAGTAACTTTCAATAACAGAATGGTCAAAGGAGTGAAAGCTTTTAAAATAACATGTCTATAAAGAGTTGTGTAATGTTTCCTACACATCAGTTTTACGAGGCAACTACAGGAGCCTAAATTTGCACATCTTTCTTTCCCAGACCTCTTTGCGCTTATCCAGTTAGGGCTAAAGCTTGATGTCTCTGGTATGCTTGATCTGTCAAAGTCAATAATGGGCATAGCAATCTGAACTCAATTCCCAGTCTTCCCAAAAGATTTAAGTTACAATGGCATCTCCTTAGGGTAGGAACAGTTTCTTTTCTGGGGGAGGTCTTCAGAATTCAAGGGACACTACAAAGCTCTTACATGATTCATCCCTGCATATGGCAGTCATTCATGACTCAGGAGAATATTTATTATGACACTGATGTGGTAAAGATCTTCTGGGTTCTCTTCCTATGTGCAGGCAGGACATTGCTGAGAAATCTTAGAATTTAGAAACCTTAGAGTTACAGATATGCTGAGCTCCTCAACTATTGCTTTACAACAAAACCTATAACCAAGCAGTGTTCTGCAGTGTACAGAAATCAGTAAAAGCTGAAGAGGTTATGTAGAGGAGAAATCATGGATTTTTCTAAAGCACAAATATAATAAAGAAAACGAAGATAACAATTATTCTTGAAAATTAGATCTTCCTCTCCAGTGTAAAGAGCTGATAGTTTTAAACACGCAGCCTCTGAACAAGTTAATTACAGGATTCTAAGCTCAAGTTCTGCAAAGACAGATGCTTCTGCAGACTCACTGGGAAATTGATGCTGGTGTGACAGCAAATGTGCTGAAAAGAAAGAAGGTTGTGTGCAACACTTCTGTGTTTTAAAAAGCAATAGCAAAAGCTTTAGTGGTGGCTCTGGAGTTAGGAATCCTGGGCTTTAAAAGAAGGGGTGCCTTTGTATGCAGTAAGATACCAAACAGGTCTTGTACTCATTTCATCTTACAGTTATGCTGAAATGGTACGT